TCATCACCAAGCAGACAAATGGAGTCGCCTTCTTTTTGACGGCGGCTCAACATCCTCTCTCTCTTTCAATCTATCAATCAAGCATGAGCAGTTCCTACTCAACTATCTATCACCGTTACTTACATTCAAAGTATTTTTTAAGTTCTTAATTTTAATGGCCTCTGTTATCTTTCTTTTAATTACAGACGTGCCATAATAAGCAAACCTACTGATTTAAAACCATTCTATTTCATGTCCAGTTTCTGGTATATGTTCGGCCACTTCTGATTGTTGGATCCAACTACCTCTACATGCATTTTCATGTTCTACCAATCGTTGTCGAATAGATCAGCATGTCTCATCAGCATAACATCGACCACATGAGGAAACAATCTTGTAGCAGCCGGATCTAGATAATGGGGCATATTTATCTCTAAATGATGACATAATATAAGGTGTGAGGGTTTCTTTGAACACTGTCTTAACTCCCCTTTCTTACTAATTCGCTTATCTTTTTTTTAAGAATTTCTTCAAGCACATGTAAAAAATTTAACCTTGATTCCTAAATTCTTTTTCATCCAGTGCACTAGACTTTCCCAGCCGATTCCGCAACGTCATCATTAAGATTTGTTTATAGTTTATGATATTACTGGATTGCCTTCTAGTAGCATCTTTTGCTTGTCCAACAAATATGAGCTTGAATTATCTACACTTCTAACCAGCCTAAATATGAATTAAATAAGAGCTTTAGTTACCCTTGGTCGTTTAAGGTGATGAAGAGCTGTTGAATTTTTCCAACAATATGTTATTTGTGTTATTTTATTTTATTTGGCTTAAGGTTATTCTAATCCTGAGTGAAATAGACTGCAGATTCGACTTCACCTGGGTTCCATCAGCACCCTCGGCATGCATCGAGTGTTGATGATACCCAGGCAAGGTCGAACCTACAATCTAGTCAATCCAGGATGAGAATTCCTTGAAGCGAAATTCAATGGAAACGCAAAGCCAACATCCTTTGCATATTTTGGGGAAAATTCAGCTTTTAGTCCTTTATCGCCTTTCGTGACCTAGGGGGAATATAGTTCTTATTAAGAATCTAGTAATAGTCTTAAAATTCCATTTCATTATAACAAATGTAAATTAACGTAGCTCTACTTCACCTTAACTGTTGCATGTGATTTCTTTTTCGCTGGCTCTCTTATGTTCTGGCCAAATATCCATCTTTGCCTAACCAAGGATGGTGGCCAGTCCAACTCTCATGTTCTGGACCACCACAGCGGCCTAAAGTTTCCACTCTCTTCAGTCTTTTAACTAGTCCTACATTCTTCCATCTTTGAGGCAGTAACGAACAGACTTGAGAGACTCGTTTTTGCGCGTGTGAGATTGGCCAACACATTATTTACAAGTTTTTGCCTAAATCTACTCCGGATGCCCTCATTAGTGTTCGTTTTCTCTTTTTATTCAAGCATATACATGCAGCCAAGATAATGAAATCACCATAAATGGAGTTTTGCCGATCGTCATTCTGCTTTTTTGTTTGTATTTCCATTCCAAGTTAATTCAAAGTGCTAAAGTTCTAGGCATATTAACATACAAATGCATGTGAGAATAGGAAGAAAGATGAATGAGCACAGGTAACAAAACAGTTCATACTAAGATCTATGCATATGCATCGTTTACAATAGTGAAGAGACGCTGGAGGCAGACCGCATCTTTCGTGCATCTTATTCCACTCCGTTGCCTATGCCAATATCATGTATCTTTTAGCCGGAAAAATTCTAGCTGTACACGTTAGTTTTGATGCAGGACGTAACCAATTAATTTGGTCAAGCCAAAACTCGTCCATCCAAGCAAAATAGATGGGCCTCGGTCACAGATTGGCCGAAAGGATAAACGATTTGTACAAGCTAATCCTGCGTTTTTTGTTGCCCGGCCACCCTGTTGCCCTTCTCGACTGAGCAGAGCAGTTGAAGAAGGGTTGTGGATGGGGGTAGGAGGTAGGCAGAACTGTGTAGCTGACAGGGTCATTTTAAACCAGTTCATTGTCTTTATTGTTAAATGCAATTGAAGAAAAACTTGTTCATATCGTCACCTCAGTCTCGAGGGTGATTTGACCGACCAATGCAGATCCAACGCTTCCTCTTTCAGTACGAGCAGGTGTTGTATGCCGCGACCTCGTAGTTGAAGTGACCTGGTACGGCGGTTGTAGGCAACAGAATTGCTGCGGTGCTCGAGTTTGTACGACCCCATTCGCTGATCAACGCTCCATTAGACCAACAACCGTGGCTGTTTCTGCTTGTTCTAATAAGTGCATTCAAAATTCGCCTCATGTAGGTGATGCATCAGGTACCGATTGTTCGTTTGTTCACTCATCCTCCACCTCGGGGGCGATAGAACAGGAATTCTTTTTGACAAGCTGACCTCTTTTTGCTCTGTTTCCTTTCTTTCGGCCCTTCAGCTGATCCAGTTGTGGCGGTTTAGTTGAATCCATCACTTCATTGTTACTCGGCACTCTCGCTCTTATACTTGCGGTATGGCCTCGAGGACACGTATCAGCGGTCGGAAGCGCACCAGTACTCGACGACTCGGAAAGACTCCATTCAGCCCCGTCGATCTGAACGAGATCAGTCCCGTCAACAACTACGACCTCAGTAAAGAGGTGAATTACATGATCAACGACATTGAACAAGATCTGGTTGGGAAGTATTCTCGTGGACTGCACTCACAGAACATCGTGATTGATCTGGGCGGTTTAGAGTTGCCCTTGTGCGAGGGTGAATTGGCTCGAGCTGAACGCCACTTCCTCTATGCTGTTGAACAGGGCGATTCAGCCACCGTGAAACGTATGCTCGACAACCCGACGGCGTACAACATCAACGTGAATTGTACAGACGCAATCGGCCGTGACGCTTTGAGAATAGCCATTGAAAATGAACAGATTGAACTGCTCGAGTTGTTAGTCTCCTACCCGACCGTTGAATTGAAGGACAGCCTGCTTCACGCCATCAACGAGGAGAACTTACTGGCGGTGGAAATTATATTGCAGACACAGTCGGAGCGCTCCAGCAAGAAAAACCTGAAGGTGAGTGGATGATTCTGGAGAGCAGTACATCTGGAACATGTAGAGTCTGAAGTCTTCTTGAACCGAATACCGCAGGTCTGGTAGTAGAGTATGTGACATTCTTAATAAGGCACATTATGGGCGCCACAACTAAATGCCCTGAAGTGCGGGCGAGCTGTATTTAGGCCGGTTTGCAT